AAGATATTTAAAATGGTATTTTAGAAAAATATGACATGGAAAAATATTAAGTGAAATAAGCAGGTTATAGAAAATGTTTTGCCTTTTTAAAATTGATATGTGCCTGTAGAAAAAGACTTACATTATAAAAACAAAAGATTAAGTGTTTATCTGTGGATGGTGAGATTTTATTTTTCTTTCTTTGCTTTTCTGCATTTTCTATTTTTTTGCTATAATGAACATGTATTCTTTTTGTAATCAGAGAAAAAAAATTTAGATAATTATGTAAGGAAGTGCAACATCTCCCTTCACGGGCTTCCATGCCTTCACTTTTCCCCTTTGTATCTTGCTTCTTGCAAACCCTCTGTGGTTTCCTATGGCCTCCCAAATAGGATTCCCACCCTGCCTGGCCCACAGGAGCATTGACAGCATGGCTTCAGCCTGTTTTTCCATTTTATCACTGCTCTTCCCTCTCTACAGTTTCTCACAAATTCTTGAATATGTTGTATTTTTTTGTATTTAGTCTTTCAGTTTATTGGGGACAAAAATTCTTTTCAAATTTTTAGTGATTGTACCCAAGTACCCTTAAGTTCTTTTAATAGAAATCCAAAAATATTTGTTGTTTATGAATCCAGGCTTTGTGGAGTACACAGTGAATTGATAACAGAGCAAAGAGGCTGCCAGGAGACTTGAATTCAAATCACCTTTAAGTGTTGACTCTAGTATATCAGAAAAGCTACCACTTCTTACCACCTCTACTGCTGCCACCCAGCCACCTGGATTATTGTGACATGCTCCTAACTGCTTTCCTGCTTATATCTTTGCCTCTACTTGACAGCTAGGGATTTCCCTTTAAAATGTTGTTAAATCTTGTTATTCTTCTGCTGAAAATCCTACCCATCTCACTCAGAGGAAAACCCAAAGTCCTTACAAGGGCCTAAGAGCCCTATGGAAGCCCCTTGTTCCTTTTCTTGCTTTACTTTTCTATATCATTGTACTATGCTGATTTTTCCTTTTTTCTTCTTGTCATTCTCTTTCAGCCTCACTGAAGTCTTCTTTTTCTTATTCATCCTTATCAATCGTCTTTGCTGGTTCCTTCTCTGTCCCTTACACAGGACTATCCCATAGGGCTCTGTCCTTAGCTCTCCTCTTGGCTTACCCTGAATTCTCCCTCCCCCTATGACTGCATCTGTCCCATGCTGTTAACTACTGTTTTTGCACTGATGAGTCCCAAATCTGTATCTTTCGCACAGCTTTTTTCATGAACTTTAGACATTATTTCCATCTCTCTCCTACTTGGAGCATGTCCTACTTGATATCCTGTTCAACATATTCAGAAGTGCACTAAGTATTAACAACCTCCCCTCCCAACACAACACAACACAACATAACAATAGCAATTGCTTCTCCACAGCTCCCCACTTTGGACAGTGACCCACATAGTTATTTAGGCAGCCTCTGGGGAGTCACTTTCAACTGCTCCCTCTGCTTTAGCACTGCCATGTCTGAGGACACTTCATTCTCACATTGCTCTTTTGAATCCATTCCCTTGTCTCAGTTTTCATTGCTCCTGCCATAGCTTAGATCTTCAAAAAAGGCAGATCTTCAGCTGCCTTTTTTTTTTTAAAGACTTTATTTATTTATTTTTAGAGAGAAGGGAAGGGAGAAAGAGAGAGAGAAACACACATGATGTATGAGAGCAACAGCAATCAGTGACCTCTCTCACGTCCCCAACTGGGGAGCTGGCCCACAACCCAGGCACGTATCCTGACTGAGAATTGAACTGCTCTCCTTTCAGTCCAGATCATTGCTTGATCCACTGAGCCACATCATCCAGGGCAATAGCACTGTCCTTAAAGCATGTACTCTGAGCCAGACTGAATTGAGTTCTGATTTTGGATGTCCCACATACTAGTCATGTGACATTGGTCAGGTTTCATAACTTCCCTTTGTCTCAATTTCCTCACTGGTAAAATAGGGATAATAATTTTTATGAGGCTTAAATGATTTAATATGAGGCTTAGAATATTACCTGACATATTGTGTTTATTGTTATTTGTACTGTTATAGTACAGCCTAGCTGACTTCTGTACCACTGGTCTCTTTCCCCTTCTCAAACATTTTCCAACCTGCCAGAGTTGGCTTTCAAAAATGGACATATGATCACATATTTCCTCTTTAAAAATTTCTGTGGCTTTTCCAACCACTTATTATATTCAGCTCATCTCCATTGACCCTTTTCTCTCCTTCTCTGTTATAGCTATTTTAAATAATTGGCCATTTTCCAAATAAGCTGTGATCTTGAATGCTGTGGCATCATTGCACATGTTATTTCTTCTGCTTGAAGTCCAGTCCTTCCTTTCCCAGTTTCATCTACAAATCTTAATGATCCTTCAAGACCATGTTTATTTCATATCATTATTTTTATTTTATTTTACTTTAATTTGTTTGTTTACATTCAGTTCTCACTTTTTAATTAATCAAATTCATCAGTTAACCAATCGCAGTCAACTGTTATTGAAAGCCAAGTATAATTATGCTCTGGGAGATACGAGACAAATATAACATGCTCTTAAGGAGCCTATAATCTAGTAGGAGAACAAGAGAGACAACCTTGAAATATTAAGGCACCATTTCTGAGAGTCCTAAGTAGAGCACACCTTGTAAGCAGGGGCAGCATTTCAGAAGACAAAGATCACTGCTCACGTATATGGGGAGAGTAGTGGTGTTAGGGTATAAAGGCTTCGTGGAAAAGTAGGATTTGAATTGGGGCATGGAAAGATGGTACAATTTTCATAGGTGGGGGGAGGGAGGGAGGGAGTGGCCCTTGGGGCCCAGGGAACAGGAGGCACAGAGGTGGCTGTTGTCAAGTTGCTAAGTGGAGGAGGCCTGGTGAGAAAATGTGCATACTGGAGAGTGCTGGGGTCATGAGGCTGCTCCAGTAGATCCTGGGACAGGCAACAAGTTGTCACTGGGATCTCCAGAGCAGAGAGCATTCCAAGGAACTGGTATATTGTAATGTTCTATCCCTGCCAAGCTGTGCTGGAGTCCGAGGCAAAGAAGCTTAGTAATTCTGATCACATCTTCATTTAAAATTTTAATATTGTGTTCATTGTAGATTTTTTGCATTACTTTTGATTTTTAAATATTTTTATATTACATTAAAACATGATTTATCTGGGTTACTGCATTTTTAGACACCCCCTTTTGTGCCGTAGTCCAAATCCTGTGTTCTATTTCTGAAGTTTGGAGGGGGAGACATGGGTATTTATTTTATTACTGTTAATTGCGGTTTACTCATGTTATAAATATTCTTTGGTTAGCAGATAGTAGTTGATAAAAACAATTAAGATAATTAGAATTTTAAGATTAATTTGGAACTTTGGAACCTGTAAACCATAAAGGGGGAAGGAATAGTTCTGGGCTCTTGAGTTAATATCTAGGGAAGAAAAACACCCTCTTGCTGCACCATATCAGTGCAAGCAGAAAAGAGTGATTTTGCCCACATCCAAGCGAGTGAATGATAACGGTGTTAGGGGTCCCAGAGGCTGTTGTCCACTTGGAGATAGGCTTGAGCAACTGAGCTGCGACAGCAAGAACAGTTGTTGGAGGCAAGCTCCCACCAGTGGGCCACCCAAGGTCCACCTCACGTAAAACAGACCCATCCAGCCCTGCTTAAGGAGAAGCTCCTGACTGCTTACCACAGGGCCGTGGCTCAGGGAGCTATGGAGGGCTTATGAGCTCTATAAATGTCTCAGGGCTACTGGAATCCAAGAAAAGAGGTGGTGGTTGGCACCACGGATATTTACTAGTACATCTAAAAATGTGAAATCTATTGTTCATTAGAACATTAGTGACTTAATAAAAGATAATTTAGATCTAGGAAAGTCAATCGGCATGCAGCACAAATCTCAAAAAAGGCCAAGAGGAAGGTTGAAAGGTATAGGCTCCTCCCTGTGCTTGTCCCCAGGTGCACTGCTCTGTCATTTGATGTAACCTCCCAGTCAGTGCGAACATTCAGTGAGAGCTTTATTAGGCTCAGGGTGGACGTTTTGGCACAATATGTAAAAGCCACAGGCTCAATTTTGTGATGTGTTGAGTGGTTGGTCACAGACGATGGCTGCTTCCTGAGGCCTTCAAGATCTGCTCCACCACAGACTTACTTGGGTAGTGACTCCTCTTGTTGGCACTACTGGCAAAACTGTTCTTCAGAGTTGAAGGAGAGAAAAGAGTTTTCCAGACAAAAGAAGCTGAAGAAATTCATTGTCACTAGACTGGCCTTACAAGAAATGTTAAAAGGAATTCTCCAAGCTGTTGAGAAAACACTTGAATAGAATGAACTTCCCGTGCAGGAATTGCTTCTGGTGGAGCTATTAGAATGAGGAGCTCACCCACTGCAGAACCTGTAGCGCTTACCACACCTGAAGTGAGTCCGTAGGGTGAATCAGTCATGCAGCCTGTGGATTTTCTTATATGTAGTTGTCTTTATTGGTACTGTACTTTCACTTTGTTGAAACACTGGCATAGTGTCCAGGGCTACTGGGATCTTCACATGCATACTCCTTGCCAGTGAACAAATATGTTCAAGCTGTAGCAGACCTCACTTGGTCCTGGCAGAAACACATCAGCCACACTGGTTTTGGATTCTGTGACTGAATGAACTAAGTAAGCACTTCCTTTTATGCAACTCTGTTGAGCCCTGCGTCTTGAGCTTTATTTTCAAAATGATAAACCTCCATATTTCTTCAAGGCCATATTTAAACCTACAGTGAAAAGTTTGCCCTTTCCATGTACAGTTGACACTCCTTACCATTCACCATCACATTTTGCAGTTGTTTCCGTGTTTGTCTGCTTCACAAGGCTACAGGCTTCATGCTGGTAGGGGCTGCAGCCTTTCATGCTTCCTCTTCTTATGCAAGGCCTTGATTGGCTCAGAGCAGATGCTTCATAAATGTTGAATTAATAATCAGGGACTCAGGAGTTTACTAAGATTTCTGTATTTCTTTCTTCCATTTTGCCAGGCTGCAGGAATTAGTTGATCGAGTGCTGGAACGTTTTCAGGCATCTGGACTAATAGTAAAAGAGTGGAATAGTGTGAAGCTCCATGCTACCGTCATGAATACTCTATTCAGAAAAGACCCCAATGGTAAGTCCTCCATAGAAGTGTAGTACAATTTGTGATTAGTGAGGCCTAATGATATCATCCCTAGAGTTTGAATAGAATGGGCTATCAAAGAATTTCTGATGTATCTTCTTTTTTTGATCTGTTAGTTTGTCTTAATGAACCCAGTGGAAATGTGCTGCAACATATCTAGTATGAGAGTGACATACCAAATCTTTTTATTTCTGTCACACATGGGGTTGCCAGATTTAGCAAATAAAAATACATAGTGCCCTGGTAAATTTTAGGTAAACAATAAATAATGATTTTAGTATAAGTATGTTCCATGCAATACTTGCTGGCTTCTTTTGAAAAGAAGAAAGAAAGATTAGCTAGTAAAAGTAAATGTTAGACCAGTGGTTCTCCACTAGGGGCAATTTTGACCCCAGAGGATCTTGGGGGTTGTCTGGGGACATTTTTGGTTGTTACAGTTAGGGGACTAGAAGGTGGGTTTCTACTGGCATCTAGTGGGTAGAGGCCAGGGATGCTTAAAATTAACCCTCTACGACACACAGTGTAGAACCCCACAGCAAAGAATGATTCAGTCCAAAATGTCAGTAGCACCAAGGTTGAGAAACCTTGTTTTAAAGTAACGTATTTTTTTCCTTTATGGAACATGAGCTTTTATATAAAAATGCCTTATTTTAGAGGCATGGATACATGGGGCAGACTGACAGCTGTCAGAGGGGAGTAGGGGCCTGGATGAAAGAAGGTGAAGGGAGTAGCCTAAGAAGGTACATGCATAACCCACAGACACAGACAACAGTGTGGTGATGGCCAGAGGGAAGGAGCGGGGAAGGGGGCTAGTTGGAGGTGGGCAAAGTGGGGTGGGGGGAAATGGGGACATCTATAATAGTGTCAACAATAAAAATAACGTTAATATATTTTTTAAATACCTCGTTTTGACCCTACATTTCAAAAAGCATAATGATCTACATTTCAAAAAGGATACTCTTTTCTTTCCATCCCCACTCCCCACGTGAAAGCTTCTCTATACATTCAGCATCTATTTGATCAAGAGCCACAAATTCAAGTTATATGCAGCTTTTCTTTCAAAGATCTATTGTTTAAAATATACCAGCACCAAAATCCCATATTTAGGTTTTTTTTTAACCTCAATAATTTATTTTGAGTTTAAATTAATTACTTTTGGACAACTTTGGAAGTGGTAAGAAAGGATTACAGATATACTTAAAAATACTGAAGTGATAGCTAAATTGAATAGTATGTTTCTTAGGGCAGTTCTCATTTTGTCACTACATTTAAACTCAAGGTCTTTATTTATACTTCGTCTCTTTCCTGAGCTGTAGAAGCGCTAACTGGGGAATTGAGAGATGAATAGCTGTTAATCTCCATTTCCACTTCTCTGCAAGCTTCATTTGGAGAAATGAGCCCCAGAAAATAGAAAGTAAACAGAATTGAATCAATATAAAGGGACCCCAAAATAGACAGACGGAACCAACTCTTTAGATTAGAAAACACTTGCAAAGACCTGTTTCTAATCAGAATTGACATCTGCAAAAATGCAGAGGGTAGATGGCAGTTATGAAAACAAAGCACTGAACTGCTGTTGGGGGACTGGGTTCTGGGCCTAGCTTCCCAAATAACAATGTAAAAGCATCAGATAAGTGCGAATGTGTAGGGAAACAAATGTAGCAGGTGACAAAATAACTGTATGTATTACATATATTTAAGTTTTAAAGTTGTTATAATAGTAATAAAATCAAAACATTTTCGAATCAGAAGAAATCACAGAGATCTAATTAGTCTAATCACCCCAGAGCAGCAATTTTCAGCCTTTTTCATCGCGTGGCACACACAAACTAGTTACTAAAATTTTGTGGCACACCAAAAAATATATTTTTGCTGGTCTGACAAAAAAAATAAATATGATTTTGATTCACTCACACTGCAGAGCTTTTGTTGTCTTGGCTGTTGTCATTTTTTTTATTTGACAGTCTAAGGGAAAAGAGGTCAGTGCCCCTGACTAAATAGACAAGTATTGTGTGATTTAAAAATTTTTGCAGTACACAGTTGCAAATCGCTGGCATCAGAGTATAATAAGAAAATTTGTCAGTAATCATTGCCATTGTGCATTAGTATGAAAGGAATCATTTTAACTCTGAAGTAAAACAATGTTTTTTTAACATTAATAATTATGTATAGATCAATAAAATTGATCAATTAAGCATATTTTTCTACATAATTCATATCAAATTTTATAGTCTCTTCACTGATTCTTTGCACTGAGAAAAGGTATTTTTATTGTCTCCCTCATTCTTAAGGCAAACAAGAGATTTTTGTGATCTTTAATTTCTTTAGTATCAAGGAGCTCTTTTTTATTTATGTCCAAGCTTTTCTCTGTGACTTTAATTTAGAGAAGTGTTTCCAGGATATTTTTTTTGCTGAGGAGCTGTTTGTCTATATATATTCTTACATGTCTGCTTCAGTATTATTTTTCTAACATTCCTCAGTTTTCCAAGACTTATGGTATAAAACTGTTAGCAGATACATTGCATAGTCATAATTCTGTCTCTTTAAAGGACCTGTTTTGATGGTAATGACATCTGTGGTCTTGCAGGATTGTTTTCCTACAAGTTTAATAAGTTTTTTTGCATGATCATCTAAATTCAAACTGGAAAGTTTAACCCTTAAGGTTACTGCTAATGCTTTGGAATGCCAAATAGATGGTCCTAATGAAACATAATCAGCTGTGTCAATTTCAATTGGAAAATGCTTCTAGCATTTCTTATTACTGTCTGTCTAGTACTGCTGGCCACTCAGGGCAGAAACCTTGAATAGTTTCACAGTGCTTTTGAATTGTTACAGGAGCCAAATGCAGAAAATTGGGGCTCTTTAAAAGTTCTAGATTTCCTTCCTTTGCCGCAAGCACCCCCTTTTCTATGGGATAACCTCTTCAAACAGGAAGAGGTATTGCAGAAGGTTTTGTTTTTTTTTTAATTTTTATTTACTTATTTTTAGAGAGAGGGGAAGGGAGGGAGAAAGGAGAGAAACATTGATCAGTTGCCTCTTGCATATACCCCAGTGGGGGACCAGCCCGCAACCCAGGCATGTGATCCGACTGGGAATTGAACTGATGACTTTTTGCTTTGCAGGATGAGGCTCAACCAACTGAGCCACACTAATCAGGGCAGTATTGCAGAGGGTTTAAATGCTGCTGCAAAAGGGTAAACACTAGGCTAGTCCTCAGAGGTGGTGCCTTTCTTCTGGGTGGCTTTTCAGATTTGGATGTTCTTCTGTTGTTCGTGGGCTTGGTTTCTGGGCTACAGGGCCAGCCATGCAGGGAGCCAGGCAGCTGCCATGGCTGGGAAGATGGCAAGCCAGGGAGGAAAAGCCCCATATTTACATTTTATTTCCTTTGTTAGAACCCTGACCTTGGTTTTAGAAAATATAGTTTGGGGAGGATTCTATCAGGACTCAAACCCATAAACTATTTGTAGATTTATAATTTAGGATAGTTTTTATGTCCCTTTTTGTCAAAGTATATTCTTTTATTTGTCTCACATATACATCAAAGATCCCAACTGGAAGTCAATTTAATATTTTTTCTTAAAGATTTTATTTATTTATTTTTAGAGAGAGGGGAAGGGGAGGAGAAAGAGGGGTAGAGAAACATTAATGTGTGGTTGACCCTGGAGCACCCCCTTCAGGGGACCTGGCCTGCAATCCAGGCATGTGCCCTGACTGGGAATTGAACCAGTGACCCTTTGGTTTGCAGGCCAGCACTTAATCCACTGAGCCACACCAGCCAGGGCTAATATTAACCCCATTTGGTTAGAGCCATTGTAGGACTAAGATATATGTAGCTATCCAATTTTTAGCTCTATTAATGTTTTAAGATTCTAGATTATATTTTATTTAAGACTTTTAAAAATAAATTACTATTGTACCTTTGGGAGCACTGAGATCAAAGAAGGTTCATAGGGCTCAGTCAAAGCCTATAGACTCTTGTTTAGGAAGTTGATAGAATCTAAAGCTCTATACTTGTTATTGTTCTGATAGATTACATTTCTTTCATTTGGGTAGTAGTATTCCAGAAGAATATTTGGAATTCCAGAAAGAATTTCTGGAATATTTAATATTTGTATATTATTATGTAGCTTACCCATTGGGACCATTTACAGGAATTTATGGTATCTATTTTGTTCTGGAAAGTCAATTTTAATTTTAGAAAACACAGATCCCTGAGATGTTGTACATTTTAACATTGTTATTTTAACATTGTTATGTAAAGATAGAGTTTTAGAACTCTAGAATATACTCCAAATTTATTGGTTTAGAAGATATATTTTATCTAGTATCATCCAGAAGAACTTCCTGTGATGATAGAAATATTCTGTATCTGTTATGTCCAGTATGATAGCCACTATCCACATGTGGTTATTTAGCACTTGCAGGTAGCTAGTGAGATTGAGAAAGTGAACTTTTTAAAAAAATCTTCACCCCTAGGCTATATTTATTGCTTTTAGAGAGAAAGGAAGTAGGGGGCAGGGAGAGAGACAGACATCAATTGATTGCCTTCCTATGTGTCCCAACCCAGGGATCGAACCCACAACCTATGTATGGGCCCTGATTGGGGATCAAACCCACAACCTTTTGGTGTATGAACAATGCCCAACCAACTGAGCCATCCGGTCAGGGCAGAAGTGAACTTTTAATTTTGTTTAATTTAAGTTGATAAAAGCAGACTGGTTCAAGAATGATGTTTCAGTAGACTCAGGATGCATTTTTCAGGTATTTTGTTTTTCCAGCTGAATATTAGAGTTGCTTTTGAGATTCAGACCTTTAATACAATATATGTTGATGGTTTTTATTTTCTCTCTCTAGAATGGACTTCAGTGCAACAGGAATTAAACTGAAATCATTACATTCTTTCACTTAACACTTTAGAGAACATTTCTATCCAGACTGCCTAAAGTTAATGAATACTGTGATAAATTATTAATACTAAAATAAATAAATAAATAAATTTAAATAATTGCTGTGACTACTGTTTTGAACAGTGCAAGTATAGATAGTATTTTATTAGACATTTAATACAACCAATAATCTATTCCACATTTGTCCTAGTCCTTAAATCTTAGTTCAGAGCTCAACAACTATATCATCCCCCATTAAAAATTTTTTTTTTAAAGACTTCATTTATTTATCTTTAGAAAGTGGGGAAGGGAGGGAGGGAGAGAAACATCAGTTGTTTGCCTCTTGCAAACCCCCAACTGGGCACCTGACCTGCAACCCAGGCATGTGCCCTGATTGGGAATCAAACTGGCAACCTTCTGTTCGCAGGCCAACACTCAGTCCACTGAGCCACACCAGCCAGGGCATCCCATCCCCCATTTTAACTAACCTCATGACAGAAAAGAGTTGAATTATGTAGAAATCTGTGTGTTCTAAATTGTGTGGGTCCAGATTTATATTCAGTTAGCACTAGAACTTCATATAAGAAAAAGGTTCTACGTTCCCAGTTTAGTGATCATTTCCTACTTACGGATATTTTAAGTACAACAGCTTTGAGATAGAATTTACATGCTATATAATTTGTCTGCAGTGATTTTTTTGTATATTCAGAATTATGCAGCCATTACTACAATCAATTTTAGAAGATTTTCATCACCCCAAAAAGAAACCCCGTACCTTCTGGCAGTGACTTCCATTTCCCCCTAACCCTCCAGTCCTAGGCTCTACTGGTCTTACTTTCTGTTGCATGAATTTGCTTTTTCTGGATATTTCATATAAATACAGTCATGTAATATGTGATCTTCTTTCACTAGCATGATGTTTGAAAAGTTCATTTATGTTATAACATGTATCATACTTAATTCTTTTTTATTGCTGAATAATATTCAGTTGTATGGATAACACCACATTTTATTTATCCAGTCATCAGTTGATGCAGATTTATGTTGTTTCCCATTTTTGGCTCTTATGAATAATGCTATGAACATTTATACACAAGATTTTGTGTAGGCATAGGTTTTCATTTCTTTTGGATCTGTACTTAAGAGTGAAATTGCTGGGCCATATGATAACTCTATGCTGAGCTTTTTGAAAAATCTGCTGGACTGTTTTCCAAAGTGGCTAAACCTTTTTACCTTCCAACCAGCAGTGTATGAAGGTTTTAATTTCTCTATGTCTTTGCCAGCACTTGCTGTTATTTGTCTTTTTGATTATTGCCATTCTGTGGTGTGAAGCGGTATCTCATGGTGGTTTTGATTGTTTCCCTAAAGACTAATGCCACTTACAGATTTTGAAACTGTCATTAAACATTTCAATCTTCAGATAATGATTGCTGCCTTTTTATTGATATTTATTTAGTATGATTTACTTTAAAATTCCACATCTCCTCTTAACAGGGGACCTTTTGCAAGTTGTAAGATATCAATAGTATTGGGATCTTTCATTAAGAGAATACTTATTAGAGAAATGGAGTTAGCACTCTGTATGTATTTTGTTAGTTCTGACTTGGTAGTCTCCATACCCATATACAGTAAAAGACCATACTCAAAAGTAGAAATACAAATATTTTTGAGAGTATTGGTAGGCAGGAAAGGGTTGATATTTCAGAAAATATCCTGAGAGTTAAATAATTATTGAGAAGACTTTGAATTTTCTGTACCCTGGATTCTTCTCTGTGTTGAATTTTTACTTGAAAGGCACAAAGAGTATGTTGTTTTGTTTGTTTTCTCTTCTGTTACTCCTTTCATTTGATATTCTTTAACTGCTACATTTTAAGGACATATTTAGGGATAAGCAAGCTAAATTATCTCAAGAAGTTAGAGTGCAGCTTTGATGAGGCAAAGGTCATACATAGATTTGCTGCATTTCTGTGTGGAATGTCTGTTAGGATACCTTCAACTGCAACTAAAGGGGCCTTTACATTTAGGGAGAGTCCTCAAAACAACCAAAAGCGTGGTTGCCAGCATTTTTTGAAAAGTTGATGTGTGACGTTTTCTATATTTTTACATATTTCAAAATACATGCAGCTCTATCAAATCCTGGGTTTTTACACTGCAAGGAACCTGTGGAAATCACCTAGTCTTAACCTGTAACTGTTTTTTTAATCTGTAACTTTGTAACTAAGGTGCATAGACTAAGTGCATAATTTGCACTAAGAGTATAGCTAAGTTACATAGTTAATGTACAATGAGTACTTGGACAGTATTGAATGAATAAATGTACATTGGTTGATGACAGAGCTGAGACTAGACACTGGGTCTCTTAATTCACACCTGATGTTTTCCCTCCATATTATGTCACTTTGTAGATAGTACTTGGAGATTTTGCCTGTTGTACCTGTAGAAATTCAAGAGAAAACAGATGATAGTCCAAGCTTCTCTTCTGACATTATCTTTGCAATATTTACAGCTGAAGGCAGGTACAATCTCTACACAGCGGATGGCAAATATATCTTCAAGGAAAGAGAATCATTTGATGGCAGAAACATTTTAAAGGTCAGTATGAAACAGAGTGCATTGGAAATCCATTGGCATGTGTCCTAAGTAAGCAAGGAAAACAAGTCGTTCTCCTTTTAACGGTAAGGTATATTTTTTTCTCATGCTTCCCATGAGTCTCATTGACTGAAAGGGCCATTAAAATTTTTTTTAATGTCCTAAAAGAAAGAAGAAATTTTTTTGACTGTGTTAAGGCAGTAATTCCTCTAGAGTCTTTGAAATTGATGATTTAAGAAACAAGAATCCAACTGTTTGGATCCATAGGAAAAGATGATTTTAACCTGGTGAGTTTTACCTGTATTTTATCTCTGGAGGTCTGAGTTTGCATTTTTTTTGAGTGAAAAAAAGAATTGTCTTGTTCCAGTAGGTTTTCTCTTCTCCCACAAAACAAGTCTCCAAAGTTGCTTCATAATCTGTTTTTACTCAGGAATAGCTCATGTCCTAAAAAGTAGAGTCCAGTTCTGACTGTTGAGGCTTTGCTTTCTCTGTATTAAATTAATCCACAAAATTTAAATAAAAGGGGTTCTTCAGGATTGCATTTATCTTTCTCCCACAGACCACATTCTGTAATATCCACAGTTTACAAGGTTAACATGCCGTTGTGTTTCTGGGCAAAGAGAAACATAAGTTGATACCGATGGAGAGGTTTGTGATTCTGCATTTTACTTGTTCTGTAATGGTTTTAGGTCATATGTTTGCAAGGCCATGAGTGTTTTTTGGATCTGGGAGAGGGAGAGGGAGAGAGGAGAGAGAGAGTACAAATGCATATAATAACTTCAGAATAAGCTTTAGCTTTGGAAGTGCTTTTCTTTTTCCTTCCCTACCCCATTGTCCATTCTCTTATCTTGTCCTTTAACAGTTTTCTTGCCAAATGCCTAATGACATCACTGTTTAGCAGCTGCCGAGCCCAACAGGGCAATGGCAGCATTCACTTAGGCAGACATTCCAGCTCCCACATCAGGGCTATACTGAGTCCTTCTTTTCCTTTTATCTTTCTTCTTTTTGAATGTATGTGATATGAATGTTTCTTTCCTCTATCTCATTTCCTTGGGGCTTCTCAATAATATAATTAATTAATTTGCTTTTTTATTGTTGTTAATTGATTAAGAAAGAGAATAGACTGAATGGGAAAAGAAATCTGTAGGAACGATTCAAGTCATCTTGGTTCTTTTGGAATTAGAAATAAAGCCCAGAAGATGTGTTGACGTGAGGTACTTTGATATCTGTTAGAGGGAGGTGCCAGCAGAGAGCCTACATGTGAGGTGGCTGTATGAACATCATGGATCGCTCACTTGATATTTAATTTCTCTCACTTTGTGAAGCCAGTTTTCCATTTTAAAGATGCTTTGCCTTGAAATCTCCCTAACCACTCCAGTGATGGCACCAGTGTAGCTCCCTCTAGTGTTGACAAGGTCTTGCTATATCTACACCTATAGCAGTATTACCCTTATTGGTACAATGCCTAATCAGACTTTTAGAGCTGGGCCTTGCTTGAGTACTTGAAGATCATTTATTTAATCCAGTAACACACTTTAATCTCTAAGGACACAAGGTCCAATGTGGTTAAAGTGGTTTGTCAAAGTTTATCGCTAGTTAGTAGTAGAGTTTGAATCACAACAAAAATTTAAAACTCACAAATTGAAAGTGTTTCTTCTGCCTCCCATAAAGATATTCAGTGTTTAGGTAGAGAGCAATAGGTATTTGAAATTGGGCATATCTATTTGAACTGTGGTAATGTATGATGAAAACTGGTTCTTTAAATGTTGGGGCAGTCAGTGCACCAGTTTGTCTAAAACTGCGGCACATTAAAAATTGGACTTTTGAACTGACTTTAATACTAACACCCACAGAAATATTTATTGTGTATCACCTGGCAAACCATGTGCCCTGCAGATAAAAATCATTATGATATAATCCCTACCTTCAAGGAGCTTCCTATCTTTGAAGGGGTACAGGTATTTACTAGGCAATTACAGTATGAGTATGGAGGAATGCCTTTGAATACAAAAGTCGTGATAACAAAGCATCTTTTGTTATAGTTTTCAGTATTTTATTCCAGAAAACATAAAGATAACCTTTCACCTGTGTTTAATCAAAGGAATTAATTTTTTGAAATGAAGGTGAAATATGGCCTCCAGTAATAACCCCCCAAATATATAAGAGGCGATAACTATATTTGTAAAGTAGTTATAGCAGCCCGCTTTTTGGAACTCAAACAAATGGACATGTCTTTGTCAAATAGAACACAAGATGCCATGGCTTCTGAAACTCCTTGGGGGAAAAAATTCCAAAAACCAATGAATTATAAATACAGTTTTTGTACCAGATATAATTAATATATTTAGAAGGGGGAAAGATTCAATTTCACTAGGAACTGACTTGGAGTAAACAGAAAGGTTAACTGCATTGGTTGTTAAGGTTGAATTCAGTTGCAGTGAACCTGCTGCAGTTTATATGCGTGCAACATATTAACAGCTACAATAGGTCAAGGGTCAGGAATGTTGGTGATGGGAAGCAGCCTTGGAAAAGAATCAACTTCATCTACTATTCAAAGAGAAACAAAACAAGAAAGCAAGTCATTGCTCATTGCTGTAAGAATTTAATGAGTAACAACCAACTGAAATTCTCCTCAATGAAGAGAATTGGTTCTTTTGGTTCAATATAATATTATGTATCTGGGTGCCTCAATAAGAAAAAATTTTAAAAAGCTCTAATGAGCTTGGAAGTGGACGCCACATTTTTCTTTTGTACAGCTCTTTTGAGAGTTGTTGCAGGTATAATAAACTAGTATATAGTTATTTCTAGGTAAAATTAGACTTTTCTTACCCTAAAAAGGACTTCAAAAGAACTGAACACTAAAGAATTATTCTCCTGTGTTTTTCAAACCAGAAAAGGAAGAAACATTTAGTTCGGATGTTTTTTTCTTAATAGAATACTGACATAACTCTGAAAGGAGAAGGATGTGTAAGTAAAAAAGACCTAAGCCAAAAAAATAGGATAGCTTCCCCTTAGAGCATCTCCATTTCTAATCTGAGAGATACAAACTAAAATCCTATTTGTTTATCCATAGACAATGATAAAATTATGCTGACCTAAAGACACGCTGCCAGGAAATAACTGCTCCCTTGCTAGCTAGAAGTACAATGGTCATTAACTGCCAGCTTCTGGAAGGAGAAATGGTCTTAATGGTAGTCTGTTTGGGGGACTAATGAAGTAGTCTTCAGCCGTAGAATCAGTATTCTAAGAGTGTGCTCTCAGCAGATTGAACAGGGGTACAGTATTAACTGTTCAAAAGCAAAGTTCTAACTGCAGAAAGAAGAAGAGACATAAGAGCCCTATGCTGTACTCACCAGAGGAAGTGGTTTGGTACAAATAAAGGCAGAGTAATGTATCTGGGAAAGAATAGAAAGTACTATAGGTCCAAAATCAAAGGAAACCATGAAAGTGCCATTTCTTTAGATACTTAAAAGTCCTGGGAAATACAAGCCAAATAAAAAGGAAATGAATTTGCACCTTTTCCCCTTTATGTGTAATGATCTTTAAATTTAGAAAAAGAGGAAATTTGCAGTATTAAACTATATTAATTTTAATGCTGTACTTGGAAATATGTTTTAAGTCTACCTGGCCACATTGAGACTTTTCTTGAAAGATGTAAATAAGAGTAAGGCAAATATATATATATATATAATTTATTTATTTTTTTCTTCTTGCTTTTGTTCCATCTTTGCCCCTTAAGGTCTTTAAAAGGACAGTTGGAATGAATAAATTTAAATTAGATCTTTATTTAGTTTGCTTTACTTAGAGAAGTTTCTGTGAAGGAAGCTGTTTAAAAATACATTTTATTTATTCTTTTTTGGTGATATATAAAAGTACATAAAACAAGTATGTACTGTTAAACAAATAATCATGCAGTGGACAGTGTAACTACTACCAAGGTCATGTCCCTCCCTGGCCCACTCTTTAGTCTGTTTGTCCAAAGGTAACAAAAGCACAATTAAGTTCTTAAACAATTGCAGTTAAGAGGGTTGATTTGAATAATTCCTTTGTTTTGAACTATTAGAATAGTATTGAAAAGAGTACTTTTATGTTTTGTTTTTAGGGAAGAGAGGTGAGATTGAGAACTATGTAGTAATTTTTTAAGAAAAGATATTAATGTCTACAAAGGCAGACTAGTGTTATAGAAACCACTGTATAATCTTTCTAAGGAAGAAAACATTGTGTTTTTTACTATCCAGGTCAGTAGTCAGTCATATACTGTTCCTGAAAATTACCTCTTAGTCACATGATTCTCCTTTAGAATTTTTTTTCAAAACTTTTTCAGAAAGCCTTTCCTTGAGAGTCTCTTACCAAATGTTCTATTGCGCTATTATATCAGGATAAATAACAACAAATTGAATGTACACTAAAGCTACTCTCTCTCATTACCACCATAGTTGTGGTGTCGTTCTTATTACCCAATATTTCTATAACTTGAAATTTTAATTTTATATAAGTAAAATCACTAAGCAGGTGTCACTTCCTCTCTAAGCTATTTATGCTTATACATGGTTAACACTTATTAAATTCAGTTCACTTGGCCATACTAATATTTTGTAGCAGCTTTTATCTATAACATTGAAAACAGTCATTATTCCTGACAACCATGTGATGTATACAACTTGTTAGAGGAGCAAATGTAAAACTTTCTGAAAAACTTCACTTGGAAAATAAAAATAAGATGTTATGAAAAAGGTTAATTAGAGAATAAGAGAGCCCATGGACATTACATATATATGCTGATAAATACATGTATCCAATTAAGAAAGATAAAGTTAAGGAAATCTCTGGTAAAGGTAAAGAGATAGAAAGTATGAGGGAAAATATGACAAAGATGATCCTCAGGCATTGCAAAAGTTAACTATTAGGGTTCTAAAAGTAGAAAATAGACCTTGAGGTCTTAAACTTGAGTGAAGCAATCTCTGGACTGGTTGTAGCAGGTACTGGGCAGTAGCAAAGAAAAC